GTACAACACTCCTAAAATAAATTGTCATACTTAATGGTGAAGTTATGGAAGTTTCCTCCTAGAGATCCAGATAAAGACAAGAATTTTCTTTATGACAACTTCTATTCAACATTACACTAGAAGTCTGAGTGCAATAAGGCAAAAAAAAAAAAAAGGACATACAAATACATACAAATATCTAATTACTTTATAATCTAGGAATTCCATTCCCAGGAATTACATATGCCTAACAAATATATACATATGTATACAAAAAAAAAAACCACAAACACAATAATGATTATAACAACTGCATTTGTAATAGCCAAAAGCTAAGAAGCAATCCAACTATTCATTAGCAATATAATGGATAAATAAATTATGATACATTAATACAAACCCATAAGCAATGAAAATGGATGAACTACCTGCCACATGAATTAACATCAGTGAATCTCATAAGCATAATATTGAGCAAAAGATGCCAGACAAAAAGGAATATATGTTGTATGATTCCATTTATATAAAATTCAAAAACATACAAAATTAAACCATTGTGTTAAAGATCAGAATAGTTATCTCTGGGACGGGAAGGGGAGTAGTATGTGGAGGCTGCACAAAACTGCTTCTAGAATACTAATAACACTCCCTTTCTTAATCTGAATAGTGTTTATATGTATCACTGTTTTCTCACTATTTTCATCATGTTGTGCAATTATGACTTGTGAATTTTTCTGCATGTATGTTATACTTAATAAAAGTATGTTATATGTTATACTTAGATAAAATTCTTCTTTTTAGAAACTTGATGACAACAAAAAAGGAAAATTTTATAAAGGAAAATAAACACAATTAGTTACAATAATAAGCACTGACAGCTTATACCTTGACAAGGAAGGAGAAAGAAAATCCTAAAAAATAGATTGATGAACTCAAAATGAGTATTAATAACACAAAGCTTATTTAGTATAGGACAAAAATAGTGTTACCTGAAATAAGTCTAAGCCCATCATTATATTGGAATGTATAGGGAATTAATTTTAATATAGTTTGTCATAGCTTAGTTATTTCCAGGAATATCTCTGGCAAAGATGGTTAATTACTGCCCCTAGACCATTGTTCCTTCAGATACAAGATGTACAAGTCCAGGGAAATCTAGACACATGGCCACCAAGAATAAAGCCTGTTTGACCCAACCTCTGCTGCAGCTAGACAGGACCATGTGTCTACATTCTGCATAATGGAATGTGTACAGAGATTATGTATGCAACTTCTGGATTATGCCCTTGGAGTTGTACTTCCCTGTGTCTCTTCTGTGCCATAATAACAGGTTGCAGCTTCCATCTTTCAAATCAGAGATGAAGCTGTGTGTTGGATGTCAGGATGGAAAGCCACACTAAATACTCTGTATCAGCACATCTCCAGACTAATGAAAGAGAAATAATTTTGTTTAAGCCATTGTTAAGTTGTGTCTAAAATAGATGCCCCACACCATATCACTACCATTTAGTTTCACTTAAACTATTGGTTAAAAAACACAAAAGTCACAGCTAGAAAAGACATTTTTAATATAATTAAGTACATTTAAATATAGAATGAATATTAGATATTGACAAATCATTGTCCTTTCCTCAGGTTGCTAATTGGGTTGTTTGTGTTGTGGTTATATTGGTTGTTCTTAGATTCATACAGAAATCTTACTTTTCAATGGTTTGGTGATAAAAGCATAAATAAATAAATAATGCAAATATGGCAAAATATTAACTATTGAATCTGGGTGATAGAGATATGTATCTGGTTGTATTAAGCTTTCATGTTTTCTTTATATTTCAAATTTTTCACAATAAAAATTTGAAAAAATTAGCAAGAAAGACATCTGTTAGAATGTGGTATGCACTTGGAGCTATAAGCACACAGAGGCAAGACCTGAGTGCAGCATAAAGGAAGTTCTCTTAGGAAGGCTAACCTTTGACAAAGCAGATGTGTTTGCATTGTGTTGCCACTGTTTCTCCTAGGTCTAGAGAGAATTTGCTTTCTTCTTGCTGAGATTAGTGTACAGATTATGGACAACTTTGTCAGTCTTCTGTAACTCAAGTTAAATGGCAGAAAGTAGTATGAAGATAGTATGCTACCGACATTGTTTTAAGTTGACAGTGTGTGTGTGTGCTGTTTAATGTATTTTATTTGCATGCTGTCTGATACACTTTTCCTATCATCTCTAGTCCATATTGTACCCTGTAGTGGGATTCGTTTTAATTGTAGACTCTACAGCTGCTACTGTCTTCCATATAGATGTTATAATAGTAATAATAATAATAATAATGTTCCTTTGTTTCTGGAGGCTGCAGAACCACACAATAAAAGCCAATCTGTTAGTAAACAAGGGAAGCTAGATCGTAGATAACATGTAAGAATTAAACATTTTTAAAATCTTACTACTGTGAGCTCTATATATCTTAAGATCACATTTATGGAATTTGACTTTGGTTGGACTGTGGGCAAGTACTCATTACAGTCCCATAGGTCTAGCTTATCTGTGCTGGGATCAAGGTATTTTTTCCCACAAGAACATGTTTCCAATCTGTAATACGGACAAAGGAAAAAAATATAAGTTTGAAATAAATTATCTTTAAGTATCCTCCATGTAAGTATTTTGTTCTCTTTATTGATGTTTATACCTGTATTACATTATTTACATTTATCAGATTACAAATTTGGAATGTTGAATGTCACATCTCTGTGATTTTTACCTTACTTATATACACTTATATAAATATATATGTATTTATATATATATATACATATATATATGACAGTACTGATCAATAATATAATTAAAAATTGTATGAACTGATATATAGGGGGGAAATCTGACTATCCTTTAGAATCCTTCAGAACAGAAAAGGCCAATTACTTGAACCTCTTACAATCCAACCGAGTAGAAAATAATTAGTTGAAGGAACACTGAAAACTGTCAAGAGTTTCTGTCCATTTTTTGGTATCAAAATAATAGCAGCAAAATATCAGGAACTTTTTTATAAAGTAAAATTATAGCATGTATTCAAGGGTAATGATTTTTCTCTTCTGTTGCTTTCAGAATTAAATTGTAACATCACCATATTCCTTTTTCTATAAAATGGACAATTAAAACCATTTACTTGTCTGTTCTTATAGGTAAAATAAAGGTTTTTTTAATGACTATACAAAAAATTCCAAGATATTAGCCCTAATGACAGAATGATTTGGTAACTTCCTGACTAGATCTCTTATTTCAAAACAGTTCAACGTTACACAACAGAAGTATTTTAAAGTAATTTACCTTTACTTAAGAACAATTATAATCTCATTTATGGATATATATGTCATTAATGAACCATTTCGTCACACAAGAAATACTATTTCAGGAAGTCAGAGTATTCTAAGATTAAAGTTACCAGGGCTGAATGCTTCAGGCTCAAATAACCATTAAGAAATTGCCATCACCCATCAAAATTGAAACAAACACCACTGCTACTGACAATCCTGTCATTAAATTTCAAGAAATTATAGGTGGGAATTTTCTTATAAATGTTTTTAGCTCCAAAATACAGTACTTTGGGGGCACCTGGGTGGCTCAGTCAGTTAAGCATCTGACTCTTGGTTTTGGCACAGGTCATGATCTCAGGTGGAGCCCTGCAGGGAATCTGCTTGAGATTCTCTCTCTCTCTCTAACCTCCCTGCCCTCTCTCTCTCAAATAAATAAATAAATCTTTTTTAAAAATAAAATACAGTACTTTGTTTCCTGAAGAACAAGCTTCCAGGGTGCAATTCAAAGCCTCCATCCTCAGGCTACTTAGTTTGGAAGGTCATACATAAAATAGTTACAAGGTTTATTTCATGCCAACAAATTGTACCAGAAGATGAGAAGTGATGAGCTAGATTCTTATTATATCTGAGCCACTGTCTCTAGTATGGAAAATATCTTAGAAGCCTATTTATACTCCAGGTCCACAACTTAGTATTCAGAAAGTTTACACTGTAATGAGCCAAACAGCATGCTGACTCACTGGATTCAGAAAACTATTAGTGACTAACAGAATCATTGTGTTAACCAGAAACACCCTGCATTTTTGTTCGTTTTTCTTTCAGATCACATTTTCACATCCAGCCTCTGGATATTATTTCTTTGTAATCAAATACTGGCAATTTAACTTGATAATGCTTTTGCACTTTCAGAGAAAAAGAAAAGGTTAGGTATGACTGAGTCGCTTTTCCTGTAGTTGTTTTTTTCCAGAGGAACTTATTATTGTCTATACCTAGAATATTATTTTGCCTTCTTATCTTTTATTTTACAGGGAAAAATCCATCTCATTTCTGGACTAGAAGTAATTTGTATTTCGTATTATTCGACTGAGCACTACTTCAATTTGATACTCTAGTTTTCTGTGAAAAACTATATTTAAACAAAGTGACTTTCAATCCCTGCCTAAGCATATAGAATGAGGGAGGCCACCATATCTGTCACTTCATTCATCACCATTGTGAAGGTGGCAAAACTGGCAGGCTAAGCAGCATCTGCTTCTGTCCACACACCATCTCATGCATCCCTCATGATGCAGCCTGATTCCCATGCCTCCCTTCACTAGCTACTCCATCATTATGGTAGCTGTAAGTGTAGAAAATAGAGAATTTAAGGAATTTTGAAAGCTGGTAAAATTACCCTGCAACCTCAGTTCTTAAAAATATATATTTCAGATTGACATTTCTTCTAAGTTTTGATTAATTATGTCTTGAAATATAGATTTCTTTTTTAAATGATTCACTGAAAACTTGAACTTAATATTCAAATATTACTTACCAAGTGGTTTTTAAACCCCTTGTTTAAAGTTACCATTAAATAAATGTCCTTAAACCTTAGATGTCTCCTTCAAATGAAAGAAAATTATTTTGTTCATAGTCTATCCCAGGATTTGTCTTAATGTGAAAACTCAATGCTTGGAATATTGGATTTCCAATCTCTCTTCTTTTGGGGGGCTTTGCAGGGACCAAGAAAAACATGACATCTGAGTTACAAAAGCAAATAGGCAGTCAACTCAACTTCTAAAGGTAAGCAATAGTATTGCAAATTTGCCTTCTCTGCTGAAAAATAAGAAGACTAAAGTAATTTGCAGATATATCTTTCAGAGCCATCAGGACATGGATTGTTCTCATATGTTCTGTAATCATTAATTTTCTGTTAAATATTTATTTATGTTGCTTTTGGATCCATCAGTTTTTGTCTTCCCTTGTTGTATAATAAACTTTCTAAGAATGGGAAAGAAGGAAATACCACATCTTTACTTTTTGCCCTATATCCTCATGCTATCCTTGTTGGTGGATAAGTAAGGGCAATTAGAATCCAGAGTCACTTCAAATGCCCAAAAAACATTCTGCAACTATACCAATACATTTTAGTTCTTATGCGCAACACATTATTAATAGTATAAAAAATTATTCTGGTTAAAGAGACTGCAGATGCTCTATCATTGTGTATCTCATAAATGGCAATGAAAAGGAGGATTAGGAACTCTGACCTCTGCTACTCAGTTGATAAATAACCTTGTATCATTTAACCAATCACTTCCTACATTGCTTCATCTTTTTCATGGTATTAACATCTAAGTAACTGAGGAAGATCTCAATGGCTTTCTGTTTTGTTAGTGGTTGTGTTTAAACTGTTCCCCAAAGAGCTGATGACAAGGTGATTTTTTTGGTTAAGGATTTCTTTTCTTCAGTATCCTTCTCTAGTTTACATCCTTTGTTGCCCTAGTCCATAACTGATCTATTTACATGTTTCCTTGCTCTTTTTTCTGAGTAGGCTTTAGGTTTATTCCTTGGTTTAAGAATAAAGCTATAGCCACCCGATCCTAAACTTGTTAATATGCTAGACTGCACTGGCAGAAATGACTTAATTTTACCACTCCACACAGCCTGTTGGCCTTTCATAGTGCCCCTTACGACCCACATCTGTGTACCAACACTTCAGTTTTTCTTAGATTGCTCCATTGTCCCAATTTCTTTCAGTTTGTCTCTCCCTAGATTTTCCTTAATCCTCATCTTCTATTTTTCTGAATGTCACCTACTCTTTTACAAGTCCACTCTCTCTATTTGTGTAGTATCATTACCCTTGAGCTTCCAACTTCCTAAAAATATGATGGTCACAGTTTTTCTGAGAAGCTTTCTTCTCAGACATTTCCTAAAGGACATTGGGAATGTAAAGAGATTTTTTTTCAACCACCTCATTTTACAGCAAAAGAAACTGAAGTGTATAGAGATGAGTTAGCAAAATTCACCTCATAATCAACCACAGAGTCGAAACTAAATCTAAGGTCTTTCAAAGTGCAAAGAACTGGAGAATCCAGCCTTAGTCCCCACTGATATAATTCTGGCTCTCAGAGGTCTACCTTCACTGGGACCCATTTCGTCCAGTTAGTATAACCATGAGCAAAGTGTAGTCGAAATGCAAAGGAGGGGATCTGAAATCCACCCAAGACATTGGCAGCCAGCACTTCTACAATCCAATTACCTTTCATTTCTTTAGCCAGGAAGGAATTATACTGCATATGAGTTGGAAAGGGGACATGTTATTATATATAAAAACAGGGAATTTTTTTGTTGTTGGCTTTGGTTGGGGGAAAAAAATGTTTTGAATCCTCTCATTTGATATTGGATAACATAATTTTGGCAAAGGTTTTAGCTTTTGTTGGTCTTCTTCAGTTATTTTGCTTAACTTCCATGGTCACAAATTAATTCATTGATTCCCCTCTGTAGGAGATTCTTTGGGGTAGGTTTGATTGTGTTTTTTTTTTTTTTTACCCACCCTGTTTTGAAAAGTTCCAGATGGCTTAAGATGCCTTACTTCTGTCTTCTCAGAGCCTCCACCCCCATCTGGTGGTATATTTAGGATTGACCATCAATGTGCCCTCAGAATATTTCTGAAGTCTTTATTGGGAACAAAATTTTATTTTATTTGGCAGTGAATAACTTTTATATGGTAGTCAGCTCTGAATCTAGCATGTCTACTCATGGAAAATTGTTCAGAAACTAAGTCATCTTTCAGTTCTCTTTGGTATTCATGACCTTTCCTTGGTAATTTATAATGCTATAGACTCATATAGCATTTCATGGTTTTCACATTATCTTGTTTGAGCCTATGAAGTAGGTAAGGCTGATTTTATCTCCCTTTTATGGTTGAAAACACTTTAGCTCAGAGAGATTCAGTGACTTGCCTAAAGTTACTTAGATAGTAAGTGGCAGAGCTAAGACTAGAATCCTAGCAAGCCAGCATTAAGATTGTCTTTGTCTTGGGTGCCTGGGTGGCTTAGTTGGTAAAGTGTCTGACTCATGATTTCAGCTCAGGTCATTATCTAAGGGTTGTGAGATTGAGCCCCACATCAGGCTCTGTGCTGGGGGTATGGAGCCTACTTAGAGTTCTCTTTCTCCCTCTTCCTCTGCCCCTCCCTCCAATTATTGTCTTTGTCTTATTGCCCGCCCCCCACTTGTCTGAAAGGAAAAATAACACATATTAAGAAATAGGAATAGAAAAGAGACATTTTTATTCATTAAAAAAAAGGAGTTGGCTATCATGAGAATCTTAAGACTGCTCCATACAGTAAACAAGATTCAGGTCTTATTTCCAAAACCGCTGATTTAACAGAGTGCTAATTATTGGTACAAACAGCAAAGCAAAGTTCATTCTCAGGGGTCTTTGATGCTAATCACATCTCTGTGCTACAACTGATTAAAACCATGCAGTTGTACTTGGAGTCACAATTCTCAAATGCTCTTGCTCAGTACTTTGCAAGGATTGTGTGGGAGTTCTACTGTGTGACTAATGGGCAGTGTAGGTGGGTGATGCCACAGAAGCCACAAAAACAGAAATTTCCATGAGTTAGAGTTAGAGAACTCTGGAAAGGCCAGGTGATTTCCCTTTGTCTGCCACTTGCCATATGAACTCAGACTTGCTAGGAGACACTGAAGAATCTAGAGGGAAGAAAGAGGAGGGGCAGAAGTAGGATTCATTACCTATCACCGGCACTGTCCTCAAAGTATCCAATTGCTTAGGACCTGGGAAGAAAGCACCAAAATTGCAAACACAGGATATTAAATTCATAACTGGTAAAAATGCTTATACCTAGGAGGCACTCCTAACAAAGTTCTGGTGATAGAGTCCTTCCACGAACTAAGCTATGTTCACACATCACTTAGGGTTCTGAATGGCCCAAACTGTACAACCCAAACATGAGGTGTCCTTCTAAGCCCTCCTAGGAGCCTTCTTTGGGACCCTGACAAGAACCTTCCATAACAATTTCTCCTCTTGGGGCCACTTTTTGTGAGCAATGAGTCAGTATTTAACAGCCCAGAAGGACTAATATTTAACACTCTTTAATATGAAACCTTGCTAAAGAAGTCTTGAAAGTCTAATGGTTAAATTTTCTGGTGTCAAATTTTTTTAATCTGTACTTTGTTGTATATTTCTGCCATTTATTTATTAATATATTTCTCCTCTCAGCCCTTAAAGTGCTGTTTCCAAAATTCTTCAGTTGAAATTTCATGAATATTTGTTTCCCCCAGCATCCTTCCTTCAAAGTTTGTCAGCCACCTTGTTCTCTCTCTTCCCACCCTAACCTTACAGTGTCACAGTTAAGTTGCAAGGGAGGAGTAAAAAGACCTGCAATGTAGACTCTCCAGCATGTGAGGTCACAGGTGTTCCAGAGTTTAAAGAAAACTACATGCCTGTGCAAAGGTCTCCAGTTCTACTTCCATAAAGGAGGCATAGAACGTAAACTTCTCAGACTGTGAGGTCTCCTGTCAAGATCCCTGGAGAAGACTCAAGCAGTTGCCCACAGAGAGAAAGGAAACCTTCCCCTTTTTATTACATTTTTATATGTATTACCTGGTACATTTTAAATCCAGGGAACATCTTAGACATTTAATGGAAAAGATAGTGAGGTACTATTCAAGTCCCATCAAGAAGGAAATGAAGGGCATGAACATTCCAAAATGGGTCATTAGACTGGTTGCCTCAGAACAATTTTGATCTTCATATTTAAGACCAGAAGTAAACAATATCCATGACCAGCTAATGAAATAGCTATGCTGCTTAACAATCAAAGAGTCCTCTACATCATAAATCATCATTAAAACTGTAACCTAAACAAGCACACATGTTACAGAATTGATTTACAAAAGAGGGAAAAAAAATGAATAATCCTTTCACCTTGGCAAAGGTTGAGGTATCACAGAATAATTTCCTCCCTTCCATTATTGTCCTCAATGAGTATGTTCAAGATCTACTATTTTACTGCCATAATCTTAATTTAAGATTAAGGCAAAGGAAAGATTCTATACATCTCAACTTTATATTCTATAACAATTTCAGCATATTTGCAGTCTGTGTTATATTTCACCATGCATTGCCATTTTATTTTTTTGTTCAGGACAATAATATCCAAATCTAGAGAATACAAGGATGCCCAACATGTCACAGACAGCCTTCCGCAAAGGAGAGGAAGCCAGCAGCAAGCAAGAAAATGGTTTCTTTTCGAAAAGATAATTCTTCCGGACTTTACGGTAATCTTTTCTTAAAGAAGGAAATAGAGTTTGTGGTCAAGTTAAACCATTTGTTTGCTAGGCTGTTAAGAAGAGAAACATTGGTCAAAAGTAAAACCATCCCAGTCTTCACATTATGCACATGATGTTCCCCCATCACTAATTTCTGTTATAACCTGCCTGGCTGTTAGGTCTACCATCCCACCATTTCTGCAGAGGCATTTTCCAAAAGCACATCTCAGGAATTCTGAATCTGTGGTCTGTCTGATTCTTTACACTTGGAATCTGGTCTGTCTCATTAAAGCATGGATTAACTGAGCTTCCTAATGACTGGAAGTAGTAGATGAGGTTTCCATGGAGTAACTAGTTGGGAGTTTTTAAACCTGCCTACACTTACCTCAGATTCATCCAAAATCGTGTCTTCTAGCTGCAGTACTAAGTACAAAATCCCATGATGGGAAATGCCAAGAATGTTTCAACTAATCTGAGGGAGCACTTTTTTTTCATATTCTTATTCCTTACTCCTTAACAATCTTATTCTATACCTATCACAAGTATAGAATTTAAAAAATAATGAAATTTGCTCATTTGTAATGTTGACTCTCTGTGTAGTCAGAAGGTATGATTGTTTCCGTTTCTGAGAAACACATCCAATCTATACCATGTAAACCTGCTTAACTTAATTTAACTTACATTGATTTATGTGTATATACATAGCATATGAAGAAAGATGGGGCATATACAGTTCTAGAATGTTAGGAGTGAGAAAAGTAAGGATTTTTCCCAGTATCTGTTTAAAAAAAATAAAGAAAAGCAAAATAACCCAAAAACCCATCCAGTGGTGACATTGAAGTTTGTTTTATTACATTCAAACACCAAAAACTAAAATACTTCATTTTTTAAAAAGTCATATACCAAGGGACTCAAACACATACTTGTATACCAATGTTCATAGCAGCATTATTCATAATAGCTGAAAGGTGGAACCAATGCAAGTGTCCATCAACAGATGAATGGATTTTTAAAATGTGGTATATACAACATAATTATATTATTCATTCATTAAAAAATTAAATTCTAATATATGCTACAACATGGGTAAACCTTAAAAATGTTAACGCTAAATGAAATAAGCAGACACAAAAGGACAAATATTTTATGATTCCATTTATCTGAGGTACCTAGAATAGGCAAAATTATACAAGTGGAAAATATAATACAGTTTACAAGGGACTAGAGGAAGAAGGGAATGGGGAGTTATTATTTAATGGGTATAGAATCTATCTTTTGGGATAATGAAAAAGTTCTGGAAATAGTGATGATGGTTGTACGATACTGTGAGTGTACTCAATGCCACTGAATTGTCCACTTAAAAATAGTTAAAATGATTTAAAAATACCTTTAATAAAATCTGATTAGTATTTCCAAGGCAAAAAGTAAACATCATATGCCAGTCTAAAGCATTTCAGAAGACATACATTGCTTGACAGAAAAATTTGTCATACACTTTTTGGTTTAATATAAAAAGGATTCACATTTACCCCTGCATAGTGATGCAACATAAATATTTTCTTGCCACCAGGCCACACTGATCACATTATTTCCTCATTCTTTGGACATTTAGGAATAGACTTGCACATTTTTGGAAAACTCAATATTACCTTATACCACTTTGAACCATTAAGTATGGTCTTTGAATCAATCGTATGTTGGCTAAATGTGTAGGCTGTTCTGTTTTTTTCATGGTTACCATGGAAACTGTGTAGTCATGGCATTATAAGGAGACTACAAGGGCATCAGAGAGTACACAATAAAAGTTAACTTATTTCATGGTTTACAATTTCTTCCAGCTGTCTCCATTTGTGATTATCATGTTCACATTGGGAGTATAAATATACAACCAAAAGGGCTCCAGTAACTATAGCCAATAAGCGATCTCACCCATAACAGACTTCCAACCTCCTTTCCTCAAAGATTTGGATAGAAACACATGAAAGAAGTGGCATGTAAGCTTCAGGTGTTTTCAATTATTTCCCTCATATGAGCAAAGATTTCCTAATACAAAACATGTTTCAGTTCAAATAGTTTTCCTTAAAAGATTGTGTAGTTTCAGAAGAATTTCATCTACATATTCCTAATTCATTGACACTTCATCAATAACATAATATCTCCTCTGATCTCTTCTTTAAGATCATTTCTTCTCTGGGCACCTGGGTGGCTCAGTTGGTTAAGCAACTGCCTTCGGCTCAGGTCATGATCCTGGAGTCCCGGGATCGAGTCCCACATCGGGCTCCCTGCGCAGCAGGGGGTCTGCTTCTCCCTCTGACCCTCTTCCCTCTCTTGCTATCTGTCTCTCATTCTCTCTCTCTCAAATAAATAAATAAAATCTTTAAAAAAAAAAGATCATTTCTTCTCTGGGTGGTCAAAAATATGGTACATTTAAGTATTGTTTACTTTTGTGAAGTGCACTTTTAGAAAGTGTATAACCTTTTGCCCCTGTAAGAAAAAGAAATAAATACTCAGTGCTGGGATTTGTAGTAGATTCCTTGTCAGTTAAGTCACCACAGAGTGTTCTAGCACAATGCCCCAACTATTTTCCTATTTAAGAACTGTCAGTTTCTCTCTAGAATCGTATAGATGGGAAAAGATAGGCCCACCTTTGCTGCTTATAAATAATTAACTGCCTAAATGCTCAGGCAAGCCTATTCAGGGATTACAAAGAAAGAATGTGGATTTGGAGTATTTTGTTTTCCTGAGTTTCTATAAGTGAAAGTGACAACATTGTCATTTAGGCTTCAGCAGCCTGACATAGCAGTGAGCTCTATCTTACAGTTCCAGAAATTTGCCACTTCATTATTGCCATCTGCAAGTTAGCAGCCCCACTGTTTGTAATTATTTTATAGGAATTATGAGGATTACTTCGTAAAGCATTTGAATAATGAACATTGCTAAATAATATTCACTGTTTAGGGAAACAAATTCATCTACAGATGGATGAATTAGATGACAATGAAAAAGAAATCCAAAACCCTACCTACTGCTGAATATCCTCCAAGATAGGTGAACATTTTAAGCCCTACCTCAGCACATTCTCCCTGTCCCCTCCCCTTTCTGTCTGTCTCTTTCTCTCTCTCTCTCTCTCTCTCTCTCTCTCTCTCTCTCTCTCTCTCTCTCACACACACACACACACACACACACACACACATTTTATGATTTTGGCAGGAAATAATGAAAGATAATTGTGAAAAGGTAAACCCTGTTCTGATGATGAAGTGTTTTTGGTTAATTGCCAATGAGCTTTGAAGAGGAATCCAAATTTTCAGATCAGTATCAGGTTTAGAGTTCTTTTGGGAGGTAAACTCCTGCTACTCTTGGCACTTTATCCCAAGTCCAAGTAGAGGAGGCATTAAAATCTAACCATCTGAGCAAGTTTTAAATGTATAGCAACAATACAACTTTGTACTTACATAATAAAAATGGTTACCACTCATTTATGTTTGCAAAAATACTGGTTTGAAATATACCTATATAGACATATCCACAACATATACATATTATTTGGAATACATTACAAGACAAACTAGATACAAGTAGAAATTTTGTTTCATTTTTAGAGTTTCACTTTCCTAATATTTTACTTTTCTTATGCTAAAGACACTTTTAGTAGGTTGAATGCCATGAAACTACCAGCCTGTAGTTTATATTTTACCACGGTATGAGAAAATGTAAAACTTTTAAAATATCATAGGAACTAATTTTCAAGTTTATTTCTCATATTTCCTGTTCTACTAAAAACAGGGGAACTATAAGGAACTTGGGGATGGTGATAGGTAGGAAAACATCTACTCCCAAGATGGCTCATTCAAATGGCAGGCAAATTGGTGCTGACTGCATGTTCGTGCCCACATTGGCCGCTGCATAAGGCAGGTTGGGCTTCCTCATGCAAGTTATCTAGGTTCCAACAGTGAGTGTCCTAAGAACCAGGAAGTGGAAGCTACCAATGTCTTAAGATCTGGATGCAGAAAATGACATGGCATTGTGTCAAGAAGTTATAGAGCCTATATTTCAGGGGAGAGGACATAGACATCACTTTTCTAAAGGAGGCCTAAGAATTTTGTGGCTGGTTTTAAAACCAGCACTATTTGTAAATCAGCAAGAAAATACGTACTTCTTTTCAAATTGATCTTGTCTTTTTAATCTCAAGTGGGAATGTCTGCCCCAATCTTGAAAAATAAAGTATATCCCCTGAACCAGTTGAATCCTGATATTTCAAAGAATCACAACAAAACAGGAAAGAAACTGTGACATCCTCATCTTTACTTAAGGTGTATTGTGAGTTTAATTGAAAAAGGGAAATCTGTTTGAAATATTGCCCTGAAACAATAATGGGCTATAGAGATTATAAATTAGCTCTTAATTTCTTGCACCACCTTTCTAAGACCCCTCAATATCTATCTCTCTTTAAATCACTAAAATCTATGCAGATTAGCTGGAGATATATCTTGAAGGGTTGGTAGTTGTCTAGCTAGTTTGCATTTTGCAAGCTTATTTTTCCCTGTCATGCATTCTTAATCACCAAATATTTTTTGAGCATCTTTTATATGCTAAACCCTGGAATTTTAAAAATACATGATTCATGGTTTTATGGGGTTCATGTATCAGTGGGAAACATGCTTGTAACAACAATAACAAAAAATCAAAGACATACTACAGTAAAGCTAAACACAGCACCCTGTGGCTTCTTAGGAATGAAGAATTCCAGATAGGTGCCATGGAGCTGATTTTAAGAAAAAGTGAAGATGCTTCAGGCACATGCATGAAGTAAATGCACCAGATGGTTTTGAGAAATGACCATTTATATTGGTGTGCGTAGAATATGGAATGAAAGGAAGAACAAGGAGATGAAAGTAGGAAGGTAGATTGAACCAATCCTGAGCTTTGTGTTCTGGGGCCAAGTTTGAACATTATAGAAAGAAAATAGTAATTCCAGATTTGCCTTTGGAATTGTCAGTACATGGGAAAGTGAGAGATGGAGAGAGAATTTGTTCCACTATAATATGGTGGCTATTTTTCTAAGAAACCTTTTCCAAACACACTTTTTATAAGACTTGCTTTAAAAAAAAAAAAAAATTTTTTTTCAATGAGAAAAAATAGAGTAGAGCATTTCTAGCTACACACATATAAGTTACAAAACCTAAAAGTCATTGAGAAAATGCAGTGTTTGATTACATCTAGCTTTGGCTTCAGGGTAAAGATCTGTCTTTACTGTCAGGATAAGCTTCTTAAAATTCTCCTTACCTCCATCATCTACTGTTAGAACAAAGCATACAACTAAATACTCGAAGAAGGTAGCCAGGATTTGTGTGATGGAGTCCCCATCCTCCAGGAATTTAATGTTAAAGCCAATATCAATCTGTACAATTAACTCATGTTACCAAGTTAATAATGACATATTGTCCAATCTCCTTTGTGAAAATATGCTACTGAGAAATCATCATATTCAAGGAGCTGTCTCAGGAATTGAGGAAGGTATTTTATTAAGGAGAAAGATTGGAGGTGGGAACCTCAGTTGAAAAGCTGGCTTGAATTATTCTAACCCTATGTTACAGAATTTTCAGGTAAAAACTTCATGGGGGATGGGGAGATAATTCTAATTTTAAAAAGACTTTTGAAAAATGTGCTAATAACAAAAACAGACACATAGATCAGTGGAACAGAATAGAGAACCCAGAAATGGACCCTCAATTCTATGGTCAACTAATCTTCAATGAAGCAGGAAACACTATCCAATGGAAAAAAGACAGTCTCTTCAACAAATGGTGTTGAGAAAATTGGACAACCACATGTAGAAGAATGAAACTGGACCATTTCCTTATACCATACACAAAAACAGACTCAAAATGGATGAAAAACCTAAATGTGAGATAGGAATCCATCAAAATCCTAGAACAGAAGACAGGCAGCAACCTCTGTGCCTCGGCCATAGCAACTTCCTACTAGACACATCTCCAAAGGCAAGGGAAACAAAGGCAAAAATGAACTTTTGGGACTTCATCAAAATAAAAAGCTTTTACACAGCTAAGGAAACAGTGGACAAAACCAAAAGACAACCGACAGAATGGGAGAAGATATTTGCAAATGTCTTATCAGATAAAGAGCTGGTATCCAAAATCTATAGAGAACTTATCAAATTCTACATCCAAAAAACAAATAATCCAATCAAGAAATGGGCAGAAGACATAAACAGGCATTTCTGCAAAGAAGACATCCAAATGGCCAACAGATATGTGAAAAATGCTCCACATCACTTAGCATCAGGAAAATACAAATCAAAACCACAGTGAGATACCACCTCATACCAGTCAGAATGGCTAAAATTAACAAATCAAGAAACAACAGATGTTGATGAGGATACAGAGAAAGGGGAACCCTCTTACACTGTTGATGGGAATGCAAGTTGGTGCAGCCACTCTGGTAAACAGTATGGATGTTCCTCAAAAAGTTGAAAATAGAGCTACTCTACAACCCAGCAACTGCACCATCAGGTATTTACCCCAAAGATACAAATGTAGTGACCAAAAGGGGTACCTCCACACCAATGTTTACAGCAGCAATGTCCACAATAGCCAAACTATGGAAAGAGCCCAGATGTCCATCAACAGATGAATGGATTAAGAAGATGTGGTATAGGACGCCTGGGTGGCTCAGTTGGTTAAGCGACTGCCTTCGGCTCAGGTCATGATCCTGGAGTCCCGGGATCGAGTCCCGCATCGGGCTCCCTGCTCAGCAGGGCGTCTGCTTCTCCCTCTGCCCTCTTCCCTCTCGTGCTCTCTGTCTCTCATTCTCTCTCTCTCAAATAAATAAATAAAATCTTTAAAAAAAAAATTTTTAAAAAAATAAATAAATAAAGAAGATGTGGTATATAAAAAATAATGGAATACTACTCAGCCATCAAAGAATGAAATCTTGCCATTTGCAATGACATGGATGGAACTAGAGGGTATTATGCTAAGCAAAATAAGTCAATCAGAGAATGACAATTATCATATGATCTCATATGTGGAATATAAGAAACAAAACAGAGAATCATAGGGGAAGGGAAGGAAAAATAAAACAAGACAAAATCAGAGAGACAAACCATAACAGACTCTTAACCATAGGAAACAAACTGAGGGTTGTTGGAGTGGGGGATGGGGTAACTGGGTGATGGACATTAAGGAGGACACATGATGTAATGAGCACTGGGTATTATATAAGACTGATGAATCACTGAACTCTACCTCTGAAACTAATAATACACTATATGTTAATTAATTGAATTAAAAAAATAGATACTAACCTTTTATCAAAAAAAATAAAGAAAAATGATGCTAATAAGAATGACCTATATTTTTTTAAACCTGCACTATTAGTTTTGCCAAAGTGAAAATTAGCTCATATATTATGGCTCAAGATCCCACAATGATGCTTACTCCCTATAGTTTGAAATCTGA